AGAATAACAGGACTTCAAGAATTTCAGAAGCATTTTCATTAGTTATACAGCGGTATATAATTCGTAGAAATACACAAAATGCACACAGCCGAATTATCGCAAATTACTAGTCTTATAGTAAAACAAACAAATTGATGAAGAAAGTGTCACAACATCGACGCTAGGGTGTTGCGGTCTTTTATTGTCCGAATGAAGAAACTATGGCTGATGACCGATGTAGAAAAATTAGGTACTTCAATCTGAAATAAGTGTTTCCGGGGAGAATACCTTGTTGTAGAAGTAAGATATCATTATATTGTATACCGATAATTTGACAGCCCTCATTTTCTGTGGGTATAGCTGACATAAATCGCATTTCTTAGATATTTGTATCGTTACGTTTTTGCATCCTTTTCTTCGCAGCTATTTTATTTTTTTCATATTTTCTTAACAATTTTTTCATATTGTCGTGTCATTCTTGCAGAATAATATATTACTTGTTTAAAATACATTTGTGTCGGCCATTCACCTTTTTTGAAAGAGAACAGAAAACAAGGTACACTGTCATTGCTTATTTCGACTATTAGTAAAACAGACATTATGCAACTATTATCAGCTTTTTATCTAAGCGGCTTCCTCGTTTGTGTCCAAGGTTTGCTAATCTTTTCTCTCACCTTACTCTCATAATTGATTAAGCATTTTGCAGATCAAACCACAGAAACACCCAATTATTTCTGTACCGTAAGTAAGTTGACTGTCAAATTGACACTCTCCTCTTCAGCTCATTCTGCGTGGCAACCATCATCAAACTGTTCTGTACAAGCGTGCACTGTGCGCTCGAGCAATAACAATAGTTGTCGTTCATCGTTGACACCTTGCTATGACTATCGCACAATCAGTAATGTCGGTTACTGTGCGCCCGGCAGTCTGTGTTCCATTCTCGAACAATGTGATAACATCACGGGCGGATGTGCATCAAACACAACTGTTTGCATTACCAATTCATGCTGTTTGCCACAAGCGGTGTGTTTGCCAATGGCTTGGACCACCTTGTGCTCATCAGGAAATGACACACTCTATTCAATAAGTAAGTTCATCATGATGATTTGTTTGTTTGTGAACTGTCTGACTTGACTAACTCCATCCATGACTGTAGCAGATACAACAACGCTATCAAGTGACGAAGAATCATCGACAACTGCGGTATCAAGTGACAAAGAATCATCAACAACAGCAGCATCAACTGACGAAGGATCATCGACAACAGTGCTATCAAGTGATGAAGAATCACCGACAACAGCGCTATCAGGTGACGAACAATCACCAACAACAGTGCTATCAAGTGACGAACAATCACCGACAACAGCGCTATCAGCTGACGAACACACACCAACAACAGTGCTATCAAGTGATGAAGAATCACCGACAACAGCGCTATCAAGTGACGAACAATCACCGACAACAGTGCTATCAGGTGACGAACAATCACCGACAACAGTGCTATCAAGTGACGAACAATCACCGACAACAGTGCTATCAGGTGACGAACAATTACCAACAACAGTGCTATCAAGTGACGAACAATCACCGACAATAGTGCTTTGAAGTGACGAAGCATCAGCGGCAATACTCCAATCGTCAGGTACTGTTGCATGAAAAGTTCGAAGTTGAAAAAGCCAGAATCGTTTTGATCAGTTGTTACTTATTACATCGTAGTACGACTATAGCTTTTCAAGCTGTCGTTCCGAGAAATGTCAATGTGTACGAGAAAGTATACTTTTACGCACTCAGTCGGATGGAATATTTAGTTCATTCTTTCGACTTAGAAGTAGGGGGTGGCGTCTTTTATGAGTACTCAAGTGATCAAAACGGAAAACTGCTATTAGGATACGTTTCTCGGTGACGAAAAGAGAAAAGAATTTCAGACTAACGTCTCCATATCCGAATGGTAGAGAATCATCTGCCGGAACGGCCAGTGCTGGTTTCTTGAAGCGTTAGGTTGCGCCTAACTTTGGTCAGGTTGGCTCTTATCCACGAGCAGTTGAATCGGGTTTACACCGAATGCTCTAAAGCGACCACGAGAAAGATTTAAAATCAGTCTTGAACGTTGCCAAGTTCAAGCCCCGTATATGCTGAACTGGAATGAACTGAAATTTTTCATCAAACACATGAAACCCAGAAAAAAAAGTTAAAATAAAACACATGGCTGAACGGAAAGTAGCAAAAGTCAAGAACTTATAATTATACGGCTACCACCATTGTATGAATAGAAAAAAAAAATAAAACTGAGAGGAAAAACAAACAAACAAATCATCATATGTTGAGCCTAACAAAGAAAACAGTTTTAGGCCTACGACACGAAAATAAACAAACAACTGTAATATTTTTACATGTTCAGTATATGCGAATGAAGCAGAAAATGAGTAATGACTGCTCAACCCATCTGCGTTTCTAAAGTTCACATTAATCACATTTGTTCACCTTTTTCTCATCCAAAAATCACGGCAATCATAGCTGCTCTACTAGACATGTTAGACCTGTATCTACTTTTGTAACACTGATGCAATGAAAAATAATTCTGCTAGAATGAAACTGATTCGATGAATATCCGAAATTAGAGAGAAAATTGTAACAGGTAAGGTAATTCGAATTAGACTGTGTGCTGTAACTGTAAAACTGTAATACTTTCAGTATTACTGTTATTCGGGATAGGAATATTCATAAAATTAGTATTACTTTTCGATAAAGTAATACAAGAAATGTTTTTTAAAAGAATATTCAAAAGATTTCCTAACGTGTTCTTGGATGAATATTTCTACCAGAAAACTTTGAAAAATCCGACCAACATTTTCTCTTTTTCTCCTTCTGAAATTTCTACTATCCTTTTCAAATTATGAAGCCTGCGGATATTTGTTGAATAAGTCAAGAACGGAAAGAACGGAAAGAACAACAGAATTTGCGTTTCCAACATCCAAAAGAAGCAACTTTGAGGCATCTTTTTATAATTTACACTAACTTAAAACCTTTTCTTGAAGTAGATTTCCGAGGAGATCTTTGGAAAACCAGTTAGAGCTCAAAACCTACAAGTACGAACATTTTAATGTTTCTTCATCGATTCATAGCATAAGTGTCCCGTTCAAAACGGGAATCAGGCGAGACCTTGATTTCTAGTGGTTCGGGCGTGGTACCGGACCTCCTTGGAGCGCCATGGCTCACTCAAAAAACATCAAAATCAGTTGAAAAATTCAGGATGTGATTAACAGTGCCCGTTTAACAGGATTCTAAGATGGAAAAACTTAAAAAACCATGTTATTGATTAAAAGTTTTCTGAAAAACCTTTTTGAAAACCATAAGAATTTTGAGTATTTTTTTTGTAGATTTCTTTTAAGTAGGATATAGAACAACCTAAATACCGTACATCTTGACGTTTACAACTCGTTCTCATGCTGTTTGACTAAGTTATGAAATTTTTAATATCAGGTGAAAACAACATGGAAACCCCAACTTACATAAAACTCGAGTTAGACCTGGTTTTTGGAGCTTTTCCCATAAATAAACATTGCCATCAGGTTCAGCGTGGTTAATTACGTCAGTTGTATTCGATTTCAAGACTACCTAAAGTTAACGAATACCAGTCGTAGGGCTCCAAGGAAGTCCGGCACCTCGCCCGAACCACTAGAAATCAAGGTCTCGCCTGATTCCCGTTTTGAACGGGACACTTATGCTATGAATCGATGAAGAAACATTAAAATGTTCGTACTTGTAGGTTTTGAGCTCTAAGCTGGTTTTCCAAAGATCTCCTCGGAAATCTACTTCAAGAAAAGGTTTTAAGTTAGTGTAAATTATAAAAAGATGCCTCAAAGTTCGTAGTACGACTATAGCTTTTCAAGCTGTCGTTCCGAGAAATGTCAATGTGTACGAGAAAGTATACTTTTACGCACTCAGTCGGATGGAATATTTAGTTCATTCTTTCGACTTAGAAGTAGGGGGTGGCGTCTTTTATGAGTACTCAAGTGATCAAAACGGAAAACTGCTATTAGGATACGTTTCTCGGTGACGAAAAGAGAAAAGAATTTCAGACTAACGTCTCCATATCCGAATGGTAGAGAATCATCTGCCGGAACGGCCAGTGCTGGTTTCTTGAAGCGTTAGGTTGCGCCTAACTTTGGTCAGGTTGGCTCTTATCCACGAGCAGTTGAATCGGGTTTACACCGAATGCTCTAAAGCGACCACGAGAAAGATTTAAAATCAGTCTTGAACGTTGCCAAGTTCAAGCCCCGTATATGCTGAACTGGAATGAACTGAAATTTTTCATCAAACACATGAAACCCAGAAAAAAAAGTTAAAATAAAACACATGGCTGAACGGAAAGTAGCAAAAGTCAAGAACTTATAATTATACGGCTACCACCATTGTATGAATAGAAAAAAAAAATAAAACTGAGAGGAAAAACAAACAAACAAATCATCATATGTTGAGCCTAACAAAGAAAACAGTTTTAGGCCTACGACACGAAAATAAACAAACAACTGTAATATTTTTACATGTTCAGTATATGCGAATGAAGCAGAAAATGAGTAATGACTGCTCAACCCATCTGCGTTTCTAAAGTTCACATTAATCACATTTGTTCACCTTTTTCTCATCCAAAAATCACGGCAATCATAGCTGCTCTACTAGACATGTTAGACCTGTATCTACTTTTGTAACACTGATGCAATGAAAAATAATTCTGCTAGAATGAAACTGATTCGATGAATATCCGAAATTAGAGAGAAAATTGTAACAGGTAAGGTAATTCGAATTAGACTGTGTGCTGTAACTGTAAAACTGTAATACTTTCAGTATTACTGTTATTCGGGATAGGAATATTCATAAAATTAGTATTACTTTTCGATAAAGTAATACAAGAAATGTTTTTTAAAAGAATATTCAAAAGATTTCCTAACGTGTTCTTGGATGAATATTTCTACCAGAAAACTTTGAAAAATCCGACCAACATTTTCTCTTTTTCTCCTTCTGAAATTTCTACTATCCTTTTCAAATTATGAAGCCTGCGGATATTTGTTGAATAAGTCAAGAACGGAAAGAACGGAAAGAACAACAGAATTTGCGTTTCCAACATCCAAAAGAAGCAACTTTGAGGCATCTTTTTATAATTTACACTAACTTAAAACCTTTTCTTGAAGTAGATTTCCGAGGAGATCTTTGGAAAACCAGTTAGAGCTCAAAACCTACAAGTACGAACATTTTAATGTTTCTTCATCGATTCATAGCATAAGTGTCCCGTTCAAAACGGGAATCAGGCGAGACCTTGATTTCTAGTGGTTCGGGCGTGGTACCGGACCTCCTTGGAGCGCCATGGCTCACTCAAAAAACATCAAAATCAGTTGAAAAATTCAGGATGTGATTAACAGTGCCCGTTTAACAGGATTCTAAGATGGAAAAACTTAAAAAACCATGTTATTGATTAAAAGTTTTCTGAAAAACCTTTTTGAAAACCATAAGAATTTTGAGTATTTTTTTTGTAGATTTCTTTTAAGTAGGATATAGAACAACCTAAATACCGTACATCTTGACGTTTACAACTCGTTCTCATGCTGTTTGACTAAGTTATGAAATTTTTAATATCAGGTGAAAACAACATGGAAACCCCAACTTACATAAAACTCGAGTTAGACCTGGTTTTTGGAGCTTTTCCCATAAATAAACATTGCCATCAGGTTCAGCGTGGTTAATTACGTCAGTTGTATTCGATTTCAAGACTACCTAAAGTTAACGAATACCAGTCGTAGGGCTCCAAGGAAGTCCGGCACCTCGCCCGAACCACTAGAAATCAAGGTCTCGCCTGATTCCCGTTTTGAACGGGACACTTATGCTATGAATCGATGAAGAAACATTAAAATGTTCGTACTTGTAGGTTTTGAGCTCTAAGCTGGTTTTCCAAAGATCTCCTCGGAAATCTACTTCAAGAAAAGGTTTTAAGTTAGTGTAAATTATAAAAAGATGCCTCAAAGTTGCTTCTTTTGGATGTTGGAAACGCAAATTCTGTAAATAATCATCCAAAAACACGTTAGAAATCTTTTGAATATTCTTTTAAAAAACATTTCTTGTATTACTTTATCGAAAAGTAATACTAATTTTATGAATATTCCTATTCCCAATAGGAATATTACTGGGAATAGGAATACATAGAAGAGTACTGTTACCAGTAATAGGATTACCTTACAGTATTACTTTCCTCGGTAATGTAATACATGAGTAATAATAGTAATACTGCCACTCCTAATTGTAAGTAAGAATATGACCGTATACTTATTTCAAAGAAATGTCATTTATTGTGCGCAAAATTTATTCTTCTATCTGTTATAACCACCACTTGAAAAATATCTGTCGTACTTCAGTATTCAAATAAAAGAGTACAGTTACTTCAATCGCTGTCGAAACTGTTATGAATTCAATTGCAATAAGAAACAAGTGTAACGGTGTAAGATTGACGACATTCAGTAGAATTACAACGAATGTTGGTAGTCCACCGGTCGCTAGAATGAAAACGAGAAAAAGAATACGACGAAATACTTTCAGTTCACGTTTTGCGTTGATGGCAGAGGGCCGTGCCGTCGTTTTGTTACTGTTCGTTGTTTTAGGTGCAACACGCGTTGTTGATTGTCGAATTTGACGCAGGATGTATGTATACATTAAAAGGATTGAGAGGAATGGTAGCAGGAATATTGTAATGTTCAAATAGATCGATGGGAGGAACTGTTTTGTTATCATAAAACAGAGGCGTGTAAGTGGATCGTAAGGAAGAGGATTGTAAACATACGGAAAGATTGGAATGAGAAAACTGATGAGCCAACTGGATGCAATTAAAACTGAGTGTGCTCGATATGTTTGAAGCGACTTTTTCGAATAGAAAACAACGAAAAATAGACGACTAATAGCTTGTGCAAAGTAAGAATAGCAAATTGTACCGGTTGCAGCCATTGAAAGGTAACTGCGAAGGAGACACCATGGTTGTTGTTGTTGAGTTTGTTCGTTGAGTGAGGAAGACGGTAAAATGCCATAAGGAACTGACCAAAGATTACAGAGAAAATAGAAACAACCACAGAGAGCTGAGTTGCAGTTGAGCAAGTTAGTAACAGAGTAGAGAGTTCGATTAGAAGAAATAATTGCTATTAACAGTAGACCAAAGAAAAGTCCGAGAAGAGCGAAAAATCCGTAAATTGTATAATTTACAATAAAAAATGTTTCTGTTAATGTTGTATTTGTAAATGATGCCATCTTTACTTACGTCAAAAAACACACTTTTCATAGAAATAGAAGAAGAAGAACATTCTTTTTTCCACTTTATAATTTAAAATATGTTTTAACTCATCTTTCATCATTATGAGCGAGCAAAAAAAATCAAACAAAAATATGACAGTTATGGCTTTTTTAACGATTCATTTAGTTTTTTGTATGGACCGGATGTAAGTAGACATCACGCAGAGTTATTGTGGTGTTTTAAAAGAAGAGAAGATAAGCAGCAAACAGAATAACAAGGTCAGGGTTAGAGATGAGTTGAATGACTAACGTTATACTTTGTTTTCTTTGTGTAACGTAAAACGAGATTTCTTTTCTTTTCTGTAACATTATCCATATATAGTAGTTTCACTTGGACGAAAGGAGAATGAATAACGAAACTTTCACTTTCATTCATGTCAGATATCTGCTTTCTTTTCTGTCTATGCGCTAAGCGTTTTAAAAAGTCGTGAAAGTGTGGAAGGCGCATTAAAGGAAGAAATAAGAAACTCAAGTGGCCTGTTACCGAGTATAGTGTCTGTTTTAGGATTATTTGCCTGCGTTGAGTCTTTTTTCGTTCGTATGATTCATCCTTTTGTTGAGTGAAATGTATCGATACACTTTCCAAGGATATGAAATAAAACTTTTAGTTTCACTCTTTCATGAATGTGAAAGAAAAGAGAATAACGTTATTAATTTGTCTCGATTGTAGTCCAACGTTAGCCATATACAAGAGGAAAAGAGAAGACGTCTACGTCTTTCGAAATGTGCGAATGATAGTGGTTTCTTGCGAACACCATTTCAGCTCTAGTAAGGGTATCTTCCAGAGGTGGGCATTCGGAAGAAAAATTCAGGAAAGCGGTAAAAAAAGCGAGTATGAATCTAAAATATCTAGGATTTTCTTCTGTCATTCTGTCCCAGCTCAGTTTCTTTCCTAATTTAGATTAGTTCACTTCATTTGTCCAAAGATCGAAGCCTTTTCTTTCAAGCAGTGCATATTTGCTTTTCTCGATTATCTACTTTGAATTGACTAACTGAACTACTTTGATTTTTCCCTCTCTTTCTTCTAGAAGCCAAATGTCAATTATAGTTAGAGAGAAAAAACAGCCGTTTTTTTTTAAATTCAACTCTTCTCTCTTTTATACCCTTATAATGTTTTGATCCATCGATAATTTCCGCTTTTCGCCTATCAACGTATTAATGGATTTTTTAGGAAGTGTTTAAGAATGATATGGATTTTTCGCTGCTCGACTAGGGACCTCCATGATGTTTTCTTTTTACCGCGACTCGAGGACAAGTGTAGAAAATGTCTGGCTACCAGACTAGAGAGTATACAATTGTATGAACCTGAGTTTTAGAAAGTGTTTTCTTACAAAAAAATGTTGTTAATGAATTTTACAGTCAGTATGGAGTAAAAACTCATATTCCAGGACTAACGAAAGGCAGACCAAATCGTAGTATTGTTAATTTTATTCGCAATAGTAATGAAACTTTTTTTGATAGACTGTGTTCGTTTGTCTGGACTGTCCCTTGATGTATACCTTACGTGTCTGTATGAAATTCTGGTATTAGTGTGTAATGTACTCTTTTTGTTGTAAACGTACTTCCGAATATTTCTTTTGTATACCGTTGGCTGTACATTGAGTGAGAAAGATGCTATGTTACTGTCTGCTTGTAATATTCTTAAAGTAGAAATTAGTCAAAGGTTCTTTGCATATTTTTCTCTTCTACATGCTGTGCAACCCGACCCGACTCGAAGGTTCGGTACGGGTACGAAGTTGTCGGGTACAGGTCGGGTACGGGTTCTATTTTTTCTAATTTACCCGAAAACCGGAGGGTTCTAGTGGAAAACCCACAAAATTTTAGTGAAAAAATACAAAAATGTAGCTAACGTACATGAAGGTTTAAAAAAGAATTAGTTGAGAACGTAATGATAATTTGACATCTTCAGCCAAAAAACAAAAAGGAGAAAATCTTTAGGTATAAGTCGATTACGGGTCGAGTACGGGTACACAGTTCTCCGGTCGGACCGGGTCGGATACGAGTACGAAAATGGTACCCGTGCACATCTCTAATACCAGGGGGTCCCCAGGGTCAAAAAACGTGAATGGATTTTTTTGGAAAGAAAACCCTCAAAATCTGACCAGGGACCATCCCTGATTCGAACCATATGCAAATAAAGCGAATCTGAACAGGGACCACAAAACGGCCTTATCCGCACCCCTCCTTTCTCGGCTCATCTTCACTTTAATTCTTTCCTTATCTTAGCCTCAACGTGCCAGCTTACCTTTGTCTCAGAGACATTCTCGACTGGTAATGTTCCGAGCTCGGTGGCTGTCGGTGATTTTAACAACGATGGTTATCTGGATCTCGCCGTCACCAACACTGGCGACAATACCGTGCGTGTACTGCTGAGGAACGGCACAGGCATTATCGCGCGGGGTGTATTTGCCACTGGTAATGTTCCGAGCTCTAATACACGGTGATTTTAACAACGATGGTTATCTGGATCTCGTCATCACTAATAATGGCGACAATACCGTGAGTGTACTACTAGGGAATGGCACCGACGTTATCGCGCAAGGGGTGTTTCCCACTGGTAGCCGTCCGCAATCGGTAGCAGTCGGTGATTTTAACAAGGATGGTCATCTGGATCTCGCCGTTGCTAACAACGGTAATAACAGTGTGAGCGTGCTACTAGGAAATGGCACCGGCATTATCGCGCAAGCGGTGTTTCCCACTGGTAGCCGTCCTCAATCGATGGCGGTTGGTGATTTTAACAACGATGGTTACCTAGACCTCGCTGTCGCCAACAACGGCGATAACAGTGTGAGTGTACTATTAGGGAATCGCACCGGCGTTATCCTGCTAGGGGTGTTTCTGACTGGCAGCCGTCCGCAATCGGTAGCTGTCGGTGATTTTAACAACGATGGTTACCTAGATCTCGCTGTTGCCAACAACGGCGATAACAGTGTGAGTGTACTATTAGGGAATGGCACAGGCGTCACTGTACAAGGGATGTTTCTGACTGGTAGCAGTCCACAATCGCTTGCTGTCGGTGATTTTAATAGCGACGGTCGTCTGGATCTCGCCGTCGTCAATAACGGCAGTAATACAGTGAGTGTACTGCTCGGAAATGGAAGAGACAACGTTACCATGGAACTAGCGTTTGCGACTGGTAATGGTCCACTATCGGTAGCTGTTGGTGATTTTAACAACGATGGTCGCCCGGATCTCACCGTGGCTAACAGTGGCGATAATACTTTGAGCATTCTTCTAAATATGTGCAACTAACGTGCATCATGATCGGAACTTCTGAGTTGCTCGTTTTTCTTATTCTTCGTTCTTTTGGTTTGATATTTTATAAAATTGCTTTTTATCTGTCATAACCTGATCTCTTGCGGTGATCCATGCTATTCGGTGACAGTGTGCATTTTTTTCGTTCTATCTACTATCCATTTCAAAATAGAAGGCGAGTGATTGCGAGCCGAATAACTCGAGAGCGACAGGTGATAGCGACCTGTGGTTTTCAGTTTTAGAAATAGACACCAGGACACGTCGAAATATGAAAACGTCACGGCTTCCGACAAGGTTTACCATAGTGTACCACCCGAGACAAAATCCGAAAGCTTACCGTTCCCAAATCACACTATGAAATCCAATGTCTAATAACACCAATCGATAATCAGAACATTACTTCTCAAAAGCAAGGTCCAGATCTTCGCAAGGTCCAGATCTTCATCTGCTTCGGTTCCTGAGGTACAGACATTTTCCGAGGACACATCTGCCTGGTTCCAGACACCTGTGGAAATCTCAAAAATACCTGGATTATAGGGTAGGTAAACGGGTCATCGATATACCAGCCGGTACCGGTACGAAGTTGTATACCGGTGACCGGTACCGATATCGCATTTTTGATACTGGTTGCATCCGTGGTACTGGTTACACCCGTTTTTGATACTGGTTACTTTACGTTTTAAGTAATGTACTGTAGTCATTTATACTTTTATTTTTTAATATTTGGTTTATTGTTCCTCGAGTGTTTGTTGAAATGCTAAAACGTTTCCGTACAGAAATTATGGAGCGAGGAATTATACGAAAAATAAATTTCAAAGCTAGATACCTCTTCGAATCATTTGGCCCTTTCATCTATATGGCTACTCCAACCGAGTTTGTTGATCAGCTTATCACCTAAATATCTGAAATGTTTCACATATCGTATAGGTGTCCTTCCATATAATAAATTCGAAAAACACATTTTTTCTATAACAAAAAACCGAAAAACATATTTGGAAAGAAAACGCACTTGTAATCGAAAAAATGCAGGCATCAAGACTGACCACCTGTGGGCTCAGACAAAAATCGACACAGGTCACGATCTAGCATTATCAAACTGACAGGTGGTTGTTCTTCTACAAAAACCGGCCTGCACTCTGTTTATCTGTTTGTTTTATGTCAGAGTTTGATAGAGTGTGGCATTTTATGTTGTTCGCAACTCTCGAGAAGCTCGGTCCCTCTTTTTTTACAAAGATGGTTAATCCAGTGGCTTCAAGGAAGAACAATCACCTGTCAGTTTGATAATGCTAGATCGCGACGTGTGTCGATTTTTGTCGGAGCCCACAGGTGGTCAGTCTTGATGCTTACACTTTTTCGATTACACGTGTCTTTTCTTTCCGAATATGTTTCGAAGTCTGGCAAAAATGCCTTTGTCCCTCCGTCAGGTGTTTGGTGAGTGAAATACCTCCAGGTTGGATGAAAGGGAAACGTTTTGCTCAACTTTGAGGTACAAATTCTTTCACTTAACTTCCACACTATATTTATCTTAATCGGGTATCGACGCTCTTTCGAATGGCTTAATCAGCATTCTTTTTTCACCCACTTCTTCCTGAGATTCATCAAAGAGTATGGCACTTTTAGCTGAAAGTCGAGTTTTCACCCTAAGGAAAAAGCTTCACTTCATGTTTACTTGCTTACCCTTTGTTGATTCTGACTTTCTTATACTGAGGTCATATGATCGTTGTTCTGATGTACCATTCACATCTGGTTCAGGAGTCAACCCATTCTAGCCTGACGTGTCTGATTCGCTTTAATGTACCATGACTGATCTGCACTTTTTCCATTATATAATGCCATCGTTTATCTATTTAATGTTTCAATCCATTGTTTCCTTTGTTCTTATAATTTTCAATGATCTAGTCCATTATTATATACAAACAATAAATTCAGTGGTAGTCAAGTTTCAACATGCTATAGACATCGATGGCGGTGAATTGCTTATTCATTTTAAATGTCTATATGAATCGAGTCCATAGTCTTCATTTCAATGTACTTGATCTAAACATAGTTGATTTGATTCAACAAAGCTTGCGGGCCCATTACATGTTGAGAACAGTCGAAAAGAAAAGTTAATTATCACATATACATACTAAAAACATACACTCACATCGTAGATGGAGAGATATACAGAAGAAAAAAAATAGAGACAGTGATATAGAGAGAGTGTATAGAATAGAATAGAACAATAAAAGGAGCATAAATTTTCTCTTACATAGGATAATACAAATATGAAATGGATACAATTTGAAAACATGAAGATGTGTACACAGTCTGGTACATTGAGAAACACAAAGTTCTAGTGCAAAAGAGGTTACGTCTGTAGGGGATCTCGTATTCATTTCGGTAGTGCAGAAGTTACAACACATGACGGGCGAAAACGATTTGTAGTTTTAATATAATATCTAACCGAGTTAAAAATTACTTTTATTTTGTCCCTATATTTTAGCCTTATCTAATTTCAACACAGATTTAACGCAGTAAAAGGTGATTGAAATTTATACTTTTGGAATCTAAAATTTCTTAAAAAACATTTATCAATAGCGCACGTTGTGTGTTGTATGGAGGACATAATGCGAAAAAGTGTTCTGCTGTTTCACTATTAGATCCACATACACAACTCGCATCTGTTACTAAATTCCGCTCGGACAAGTCCTGATTCAAATGACTAAAACCCACTAGTCGATTTCTGTCATTCTATCAATAGCAGGAGGCAATTTTAATTTAGTGAAGTAGGATTGGTCCATTTTACATTTGAAAGTGGCATAATTTTTTGATTCATTTATTACATTTCATAAGCCATTCCACAGTTTAGGAGAAGATGGAATAGATATTCACTTCCTCTTCTCAATATTGTTACCTGTTGTGTATTATAGCTTCTCAGAGTTATAAAAGTAGTTTGTGTTGGACATGGAATAAGAGAATGTAAATCAGTTGCACCTTTTAAAATTATATAAAATAAGTAATTTACCTTGTACGCACCCGTCCTTCCGTCATGGGGTAAAAACTGATAAAACTGTACATTTATCTTCATATGAACTATTTATTCTGAAACTTTTATCCAAAAATATCGAATCGTTCCGAAGAAATCTCGGTTTTTCAGGCACAATTTGTGATCCACCTTCCTCGTTTGACGAACGTGATCCAGGCTTCAAACGTGCAGAGTTGATAGTGCAAAACGGCTTCTGTTGAAAACTGATTTAAACTTGTAGGCAAAAGTGATTTTGAACGCGTTGTAAAGATTTTTCCTCAAAAATCAGCCTTTTCGAGATCTTTTTTGAATTTTTTAATACAATATCGACAATCAAACTTTTTCATGCAGATCGTATGTCTGGCTTGATAGAGTTAAAATTTTACTTTCAAATGAAACCTCTCTGCACCCAGTAGACTGCATCTTTATTGAAATGTCGCTTTTTATCTGTGTAGATGCAATGTACCGAAAAATCAAAGTCATAAGATTTCTTTTTTTACATATATTTGCACATGGTCGGATAGAGCACATCGAGCTGCGTAAGAAAAAGTGGTTTCAATTTCTTTTAAAGCTTTTTAAGGAGATAAAATTGAAAAAGATTGAAGGGTCTAAAATTTGGAAGAATCCGTCAGTGTCAAAAAACTTTTCAAATGTTTTCCTTTTTTCGTTGTTCTGACTTTTAAAAAAGTATGTTTTTCAGATTCATCATTAAACTGAGTATGAAAATAACGGTTGATCAAGATTGAAGTCAAGGATGTATCTTGAATGGCCGTCTTGTGAAAGATTTATAAACAGTTTTGCAAACCTATCTCAATTTTTTTGTGAAGGGATGAAGCCGATGTCTTTTATTTGATTAGAATCGCCATTAAATGAGCTCGAAAAGTATGGCTCGCTTTTTTTCCATTTTGCTTGGTCACTGAGAAAATCCATATTCTTCAAATCAGTCGGGAAAAAATGGGATATCAATTTTCTTCGTCAAGACTCATTCTTCGTATAATGAAAGTATTATATTCGGAATCAGCGGCACAAACTAAACCGAACGAGGTATATCGCAGAGTTTTTTGTTGGTTTTCATTTTTTGGTGAAAATCTCGTCAGTCATTTTTCTCCTGGAAAATTCAAAAACCTCACACAGTGCTAACAAAGTGCACCATTCAATTCAGTTTGCATTGCTGATTCCACTGAAACCTATATTTTGAAGTGTTCGTTGTGGCAATAAAAATTTAAAATATCTAACACTGCAAAACATGGGCTATGGTGATAATTTTTGAACGTAGAATTGATGAGCATAAAGATAAAATATATACAATGGTATGCATATTTATTTAATATTCAAGAAATTTGCCTATTAAACAGCAATGATTAATATTTCACTCCGTATATACAACGAATCTATAAACATTCATTAATTTAGTAATGATGGTCATGGAACAGACTTTATCAATTACACTTTTTTCTAACAACAGGGCTGTAATCCGTTAGAAGATCGGCATGAAAAGTAGAAATAATACCATCATCAACATAAAAAGATCAATTTTAACTAACACAAAGACTAGAATTGTTGACCAAAGATCGTTTTAAAAGAAATGATATATAAAATTCCGGTTTCCCCACTATTCTAGAGACCGAAGACACGATTCCAACTGAAAATTACACCAACATTTTCTCTCCTGTGAAATTGAGATGTTTTTACAGTACAAAGTGAACTCAATACAGCTGTGTTGAGACATATTATATCCTCATTTTCATGGTCACTAATAATCATCATTGTTCTTTTAACTCTTGGCCATGAGTAATCAAAATATTCAGTGGTCTCCTCTTCATTGGAGATTATTGGGGTAGTATGCAATATTCTACCATTCGAAATGGTTTCTTCTCAATAACTGTGTCATAGATATGTATATGTACCATTCGAGTTTTTGTGGAGTTGCAATGTGAATGAATATCGTACGATAGATTATCAAATAAAAGAACCTTTCGAATGTTACCGACGAAACATTTTAAACAGTTAATATCGAGTTTGGATGGATGTACTGTTTGTAAAACCCAAGCTTTAGCGACATTCTAGGTAATATAATCACTGTTGTCGATACTGATTGTTTTCTGACGTTTTCTTGTTTTGGGATTGGCTAATTCGGTTAAATCACATGGTGATTAGGGTGAGATCAATTTTCGTTTGGTTATTGATGGTGATGCTTGTGGTTTACTTTCATTCGGAAGTGAAGGTGATCGTTGAGACCTTTTCACTGTTTGGCGAATTGCGAGCAATTTGTCTTTCTGCACTGTGACCGAGCGTGACTATTAAGAAGATGAGTCACCACTTCTGAAGATGAAACCATGCATCATTATGGGATTAGTCACCACTTCTGAAGATGAAACCATGCATCATTATGGGATTAGTCACTAAAAAATAGAGAATTCTGACATAATTCTTTCTCTACTCTATCAGAACTACGATTAGTAAGAGACTGGGTGACCACTTCCCAAAATTGAACCATAAGTATGATGTTTTTCACATTTGTCTCAACGTTTATTCAGTAAAAGTTACTAGATACTGTTTACGTTAAAGGATGAATCATTTCTGTTAGAATGGAAAGAAATGGTTAATGGAGAGAAGCAGAATAGATCCACTGGTCAGTAACATCGTGTTCCTTTTTCAGCGTGTGAAAGTTATCATTTTTTATTCGATAAGAACAAGAAATAGTAACCTCTTCACACGGTGTGGATTGAGCTGTGTGCTGCTTATCGTACATTAACTCTGTCTTTCTCAAAGGAAACCACCTGACGAAATCCTTGAAAAAGATCGAAATTGGTCGTGGTATCTTCTTCTGACTCTAGTAACTAACTGATAAATGGTTGTAAAACTAAATTAGATTAAAATTTTTCAATTTTACTCGCCCTTTAGTTCGAACAGAAATGAATTATTCAACTGTTAAGATGAAATTTCATGTTTGTAGTTTAACATATAATAATCGATAGGGTCAATTTCAACAAAAATCAATTCACTAAACAAAAAGTAATTGTAACCAAAAGTTTTATTATGAATCTTTGAAAAGAAGAAACATTTCATATTTAGTCATCAACGTGAAAAATGCATTTTAAATTTAAATACTGCAGTACAACATTAGCTAAAGTGTCCAGCAACAAGAAAAATGCCCACTGTGTTTTTTAAGTAAGTTACTTCTGCTTACTTATTCACGTAAATCTAACTACGGTTCAACTTCCTATTTACTTCTCAAAAGTCAACGAAGAGTTCGTTCTTATCTATTTCAACCACAATTTTCAAAAAATACTAGAAGAAGTGAACATTGTTCAACTATAGTGGGAGTATTTCAAGCTGAATTTTTCTAAATGTATTGGTTTTACCTATTGAGTTTGTGTTAGATATTCAACATAACTTCGTTTTAATCTTTGTAGAACAACTTCACATTCTCTTAATATGATATTTTCTGAAATGGAATAATTTTGTACACGTTTATTCAACCCACCATCTAAACGAAAAAAAAACACTTTTCGATTCAGGGTTTCTCTTTTTTACAGCAAACAAGAAATGCTATGAGTATTTTGTATTGTGCAATACTGCTGTCGGCGCAGTGCTTATTTTCTTGGAAAATATCAAAGCAATCAACATTGTATTAGAGGAATCAATTAAATACATGCTTTATAATGTTCGATGGCATCAATCGGCAATATCGCACAATTTAAGTTTCTAAGAGCTCCCGTTATTGTAAAACACATTAATCCATTACCTTTTTTATGTTTAGGTCTTAATACGCATTGACTGTGTGAGGGACAAACAAGTCTCCTTGAATTCTTCTCTACCGATCTTTTTGTTTGTTTGTGGAGTATTTTTAAACTGTCGATAACGCAATAGTTCTCATAATGTTTCACAATAGATATCTTTTTCAAATCCGTCACAACATGATGAATTAGTTCTCGAACGTTATATTTTTTTAAACGCAATAGGCATAGAGGTATGGCTTCACTCCTTCCATTTGAATTTTTTTTTCGAGTTCGACGTTTGAATGGAATGATAGGTAATGTGACTGGAATGAGTGATACTGACGATGTTTCGACTGGTTTATGTGGCTGCTTTAATTTCAGACCAAGAGCAGACATTAGACTTGTTACATCGTCATCGTCTTCCAGTGAGTGTTGAATGTTATTGTTATTATCATCTTTGGCTGTTGTTATATTACATTTGATTCGAGACGGTAAACAAGGTACTGTTTGACAAACAGTGTCACCCGTTTCGACACAACCCAGTGTCATTTTTGTGTATATAAAAGTTCACAATAACAAACAACAATATGGTGCATAGAGTATCTAAAAGAATGATGTCAACCACACACACATAATGTTTAGAGAAAAAATGAGCGCATAAGAGCACATTTCTTTTCCAGTAGAAGTCCACTTTTTCCTTTAGAGAGTCGATCCTATGAGAAAGTGTTTCTTTGACAATTCATAGTTTGTACTTTTTAGTGTTTTTTGCTGTTGCTGTCAGAGAATGAATTATTTTATCGTTATTCTGATAAAACTGAAATGAATGCCCTCTGTCATTCAAAAACTCTTTCGCTGGATTGCTTTTCTCTTTCCAATGTGTACTTGAAAGAAACGCACGTTGACTGCCTACTCAATTACGTAACATGCGTTGGCAGACATGAAGTTTAATATAAATAGTTGGGTGAAGAACGAAAAGAAAAAGAAGAAAGAATGAAAGAGAACAACGGTTTGACAGACGGATAAATAAGACTGGTCAAGACAGTTATGCATTCGTGAATTAAAAATTTCTTAAATGTGAAAGAAATAGCAGTAAAATATGGACGGGGCAAGGATGCTTTCCAAGAAACATATATCACCATACAGATTTCAGTCAACAATATAACAACATATAACAATCTTATGTAGGAAAGTATTTGGAAACGCCATAAACGTGGTAGTATAATTACACCAATATATAGCTAATTTCTTTTGTTTTCTGCGCAGAAAGCTGTCATTGACTGATGCTCAAATAACTTACCAAATCTTAAATAAACCAAACGTTACATCTCCGATCAAATATGAATTAATGCTGCCTAGTCTTCTCGTCAAAATGTTTGTTATACACACTAACTAACACACACATACACTCTTGTTCATCTACAACATATAAGCGTAATAAGATAGAGCACCAACATTGTGAGCCGATGAAAAGAAAAAAAGAGAAGAAAAAAGATGGGGTCGTGTAGAACATACACACACACATATACGCATCCATATATATATATATATATATATGTATTCATCAAATAACAATTTGAGGAATAGAATAGAACTAATGTATGTGTGTGGAAGAAAAAGAGAACAGGAGAAAACATGTGCGTACAATACATTTTGATCCGTCGGGAAATAAAAGAAGAAGAATGCTCGATAGGAAGTGTAAGATACGAACAAACAAAAGAACATCAATTAAATGGGTTTAGAGGATGTAGTTCAACAATCGAGCACATTTGCTACTCTTTTCGTTAGGATCGATCACAGTTGATACACGATGTCGGATCTATCTACTGTACGGGCGCACGTATCCTTTCAGCAAGAAAACATTTTCCCCTGCAGAATTGCCTAAAAATATTATTTCTATGGCGAGTGTACGTATCTCATACTTTCCTCATCTACCTGCACATACCTAAGAATAATTTCGGATCAAGCACTATCACGGAGATAGAGAATTGCAAATGGAAAATCTGTTTGAGCCAGACAGAAAGTCAGGATCCGTCCGCAGAAATACTTAGAACACACCTTGTTTTTGACTTCTAGCAATCAGCCAGAAAATAACATAAAACACATTGATTACTCCGCAAAGAGATTCCAGCTTGCTTCCTTAACGAATTGACTAGCTGTTGAATAGCTAGCTATTAGCTGTTTTTTATAAAATTCGAAGAAAAAAATTTGGTGAGTGCTCCTATTCTCATCGTAAACCAATGTTAACAAATCCTGCCAAATGATCCTGCACGATGTTCTATGATCTTACAAGATCATATCACAAGATTTTACATGCTCATGAAAACTGTACAAGATCTCATATGAATCAGTCCCTTTGATTCAAGATAAGTTTTCCAGAAGTGAAGATTTTATAAGATTAATAAAATCATATAATAGTTCAGCAGATCTTACAAGATTATGTCTCTGATTCTGTCCTACTGATTAATTCTCGATCAACATCTTTCGTTTCTCATAATATTTTCTAACATACGAAGGACTCTGACGTCTTTGGGAACGTATCTAACTACGTTTCTAATAGCCATGCACTTTATTTGTGCTTATCTGATGTGTAAAGTCGAAGGAAGAAAAACATTCTAAGCTTTGTCAGAAGAACTACGTTATACATATACTATATACCGTAGCAAAATTTATGCGGTAAGAACGAATCATTATTTCTTGTAAGATCTTGTAACAAGAAATCATATAATCTTTTAATGAAAAGTAAACATCGTTTCAACACTCTCGTTAACAAGAGAGCGTTGAAATGATATCTACTTTTCATCATAAGATTATATGATTTCTTGTTACAACATCTTATAAAATCTTAACATTCTTATAAACTGATCTTGTAACATCTTACTATAAGAAGTTAAAATCTACAGGGTAAAATCTTAGAAGATCATGCAATAAAATCTTTTTCACAAGATTTCATAGGACACTAACAGATCTTGTACGATGAAGTTTAACTGGGAAGTGCTCGTAATAGTTGAAAGTGACTGTAAATAGCTCATCGTGTGGAGAACCAAAATTATTTCCCTAAAACCGTGGTTTCCGTAGTAAACATGGAATCGAGATTCTTTAGCGAGAAGGTCCAGCTTTTGGTCCACCGTTACTAAAGCACATTCAATAAAGATCAAAAAGACAAACCCGTATCAGAACACATTTTCTGTAAGGCTGACTACTATGCTTCACTTTTTCGTTGAAACAAAATTCATTCGGGATCAAGCTTTGTCATGATCATGCGTTATTCTTTAATGAGGACGGTTTTGAGAGGAAACTTCGATGTTCGAAAGAACCTTGCCTTCACAGATTTATGGGCTAAATACTGGCTAGATGCCTCGATTTTTTACCCATACTGATATATAAAAATTATCACAGTTTTTTTCGCAAATATAAATTAGGAATAGTTTGTATTTGGAAACATGCAGAATTGAAAGAGCTACAAAATAAGCTATAATATATTGTTTGAAACCTTAAATTTAATAGACTTATTGGCAAAGTATCGAATGAATACTATGGTTTGGACCTATGGTAGAACAGTGAATGAAGTACAGTGCTGTAAACACAGCCGAACCCGGATTGGCTTTTCTACAAGAAAATGCGGAAAATAACGAGCTTCAAGTTGAAATACATAAGATTCTTTTAAACATATGCCTTCATATATTTTTACTCTAAATACTATACTAGCATGATGATTGTTGCTTAAAGTATACGCCAAAAGTTCGAGCTTTCTTTATTTTGACTTTTTTTATCAACAACCTGAGACAGATTCAGTATATTGAGAAAGAAAGAACAGGTGAACTTTTACTCGAGGATTATTTTTTCAATTTGGTGTTTGCACTTATTTTGGATGAATACCACTTATGAAAATCGAATGCATAAAGTATAGTAAAAATAAGTCTGGTAAGCCTGGTTCTGCTGTGTAGAGTTTGAAGAACCATAGTGCACGATGTGTAATATCGGTTCATCGTTATCAGATAAATCATATTTAATACAAAGGTAATATTTTGTACTATTTTGGTAACGGCTTTGTATTCGACAGCGTAAAGAGATATTGCATAATCAATAGAAATTCATTCCTCTTCATTCATTATCGTTGTTGTCTCATGACTTATAATCAACAAATGCAAAATATACCGAAGAAATAAAAGAATATAGGTGAAATACTGTGAAGCTTCGATTTCCATTGCTTTCAAACCCAAAACACAACGAAAAGATATTCTTTTTGAACATGCTATACAATAAATTAGAATCAAAACGTATTTTCTGGTACCTAGAAGTGTTGTCTTTCTTTTCATGTGTCAGAGGTTGGCATTAAAGGTGTTTTTCTGATGCGAAAGGCTATTTTACTGCAGTCTACCAAAAAAAATGAAAATTTTCACCTTTTCATCTTGTCGGTGGAAATGGAGCTGTCAAACTTTCTCTGTTCGGATGTAACAGAATAATTATTTTTCTTCAGAATAAGACACACCAGACCTCAAAATATTTGTTTTTGACCGATTTATAAAATTTTCTCAAATACCACCAAAACTGTAGTTTGAAAACGATGATTTTTGACAAAATCCATATAAGCAAAACCTTCTACTGCAACGAATTGCGCTTATGAGGAGCTTTAAACATAGCCAATTGATGGAACTTCAAGGGCTACAAAGCAGTCATCTTCTCTTATTCTGTATCGTAAAATACAAAGAACTACAATTAAAAACTGTTTTTTGGTTTTGAAAGCAACTGAAATTCAAGTTTCGCAGTATTTCACCTAAATTCTTTTATTTCTACAGTATATACAGAAATGTACTTTCCATTCTGTTGTTATCTAGTGATTATCACATAGCCTTGGCCAAAGGGAAAACGAATGAGTGATCTGAGAGTGTGGTCAATACGAAGGCCTTTCCCTATTAGCCTCATCGTCACCCTCACAGTTTTATCGTGCCAGATACCGGACGATTGGATAAAGCTTTCTTGATTGTTTTCACTGTTTATTTGTACTTTTTACAAGCGAGGCAAGAGAAAGAAAGAAATAGAATGACCTGAGATGATGTAGTCGAAATATCCAAGGGTAACGATAAGACGATATTAGAGATACACATAGAGAACAAAGTATGATGAACAAAGGAAAAATGAAAATCTGAATCGTACATGATTGCCCTATCCAAGAACCTTTCCTCAAGAATATGTGTTGACTCACAATCTAAAGATCGTACACCACAACAATAAGAGGTCACCGACAAATGAAAACTGACTTCCAGCATCTTTACAAAAGGACGGGGGACGATAAAAGGCAAAATCGGCCCCCTCTCAGATCAGTCTCATATTCACGGGTCTGTATGACACATTCATTTTTAAAAGCTTGTCAGTTAGCTCAATACAAGAAAAAAGTTGTAGTTATGTTTTGTTTCCTATACACCAAACAACTTTCTAGTTATTCCAAAATTCCAGTAGACCGGAGAGAATATCTTGTTTATTTTTCTATTCTGTTTTGAGTAAAGAAATATTCAAAACTTTTTCTCTATGCAACAAACAACCTTCATAGT